TTCTTAATACAATATTGAGCTTTGATCAGGGTTGGTCCATACTGCCATCTATCAGATGAAGCTACACCTGGTTTATTGATTTAAATGAACCCTCCCCAGCTACTCAGGAAATTTGAGATCTGAGGATCAAGTTTAGGAGCCAGCCGGGGCAGACAAATCTAAGAGATTCCAATTAATCTCCAATTAACTAGCAAAAAAATTGGAGACTTGGTTCACATGTCAGTGCACTAATCTTGAGCAGAAAAAACTGAGCAAGGGGTGAGGCCCTGAGTTCAAGAGCTGGGGAAAATTTTTTTTTGTCTCATTAAGTTTTTGCTTGAACCCAAGATCCTTTCTAATCTCCACTCATTCCCAACCTCCACTTTCAGAGTAGCTGGATTACATGTGAGAGCTACCTCATTCACGCAGCCTGAAACTCTCAGAACTCTTTGGTGTAGTACTAGGGCTTGAACCCAAGCCTTTCCTCCAGCTCTTGCTCAGCTTTCTCCCTCAAGGCTAGTGCTCTACCACTTGAGGCAAACCTCTACTTCCCACTTGTGGGTGGTTAATTGATGATAATCTTACAGCCTTTTCTGCCTCGACTGGATCTGAGTAGCTAGGATTACAGTTGTGAGCCACCAGTATCTGCCTAGTTTTGTTCTTGACATAGAAACTTGCTAACTGCCCTGGCTGGTCTTATATTCTGATTCTCCTGCTTCAGCTTCCCTAGTATATAGTACTACACCCTACCCTCCACCCACCCAGCTACTAACTCTATTTTAACCTTTTCTTTTGTCCATTATGGGACTTGAACTCAGGACATGGGCACTGTCCCTGAGCTCCCCCCCCCCAACTCCTCCCTCAAGGCTAGCACTCTACTATTTTGAGCCACAGCACCACTTCCAGTTTTCAGGTGGTTAATTGGAAGTAAGAGTCTCATCAACTTTCCTGCCCTGGCTGGCTTCAAATCTGGATCCTCAGATCTCAACCTCCGGAGTAGCTAGGATTACAGGCATCCTCACCAGCACCTGGCTGTTTTAACATTTTATTTGGTCTGGGTATTATCAGTTTTTTTCAATGCTTTTTTTCCCCCTGCTTATACTTTGTAAAATTCTCCAGGTAAAAGAGGTCCCAATAACAAAAGTGGCCCAAGGAGAAAAGGATGCACAAAACAACGACACAAATTTACTAAGGAACAGCTGCAAGAACTTGGTGAGCTATTCCATCAGACACCATACCCTGACTTCACAAGCAAAGAAGAACTGGCGAAAAAATTCCATTGTCCAGTGCATGTAATTGGTGTAAGTTCAAGACCTCGCACCCGTGCTTCTTATACAGTTAAAAAGCTGAGTGGGAACAGAGGAATGTTAATGTGATAGAGGGAGTAGAGTCATTCAGAGATCTGTGTGAGTGCGTACAAATATCACAATGAAACTCCCTTATCTTATATATATTATCTCAAAAATATAATTTTTGGGGGGGGGGTCCGGTCGTGGGGCCTGAACTCTGGGCCTGGGCGCTGTCCCTCAGCTCTTCCGCTTAAGGCTAATGCTCTACCACTTGAGCCACAGCGCTACTTCCGGCTTTTTTCTTTTTTTGCTTATGTGGTGCTGAGGAATCGAACCCAGGGCCTCATGCTTGCAAGGCAAGCGCTCTACCACTGAGCCACCCTTCCAGCCCCCCAAAATATAATTTTGTGTGTGTGCCAGTACTGAGGCTTGAACTCAAGGCCTAGGCACTGTCCTGTAACTTTTTTTTTGCTCAAGGTTTGCACACTAACATTTGAGCCACAGCTCCACTTCTGGCTTTTTTTCCAGGGATAGTACCCAAGCTCTGATTTTAAGCCCCAGTATACTGGAGAAGACTGTAGATGGTTCTGACCATAAAGTCAGTTTCTAGTGGAGGAGATTGATTCTAGAATGCTCCATGCCTATCACCTGTAATCAGTGTTGCCCTTAGTATCAAAAGCAAGTAGTCTCCTCTGGGAAGAGGCTCAAATAGAAAATCTTTGACCTTAAGCCGGGCGCTGGTGGCTCACGCCTGTAATCCTAGCTACTCAGGAGGCTGAGATCTGAGGATCGCGGTTCAAAGCCAGCCCAGGCAGGAGAGACCGTGAGACTCCGATCTCTCCAATAAGCCACCAGAAAACCGGAAGTGGCGCTGTAGCTCAAGTGGTAGAGCACTCGCCTTGAGCTGAAGAGCTGAGGGACAGTGCCCAGGCCCAGAGTTCAAGCCCCACAGCCGACAAAAAAAAAAGAAAAAAGAAAATCTTTGACCTTGAGAAATATAATCAGTAGATCTGATGAAACATTATTACCTTTTTTCCTTTAGAGCTGGTTTCAGAATAAGAGATCCAAACTTCCATATGAAGAGAGACACAGGATATTTGCTATGTGGAAACACCAATACTATCTACATTTCAACAACCAGTATGTTCAGGCTGCAGCTCCCAGCTATGCCAACGAGAGGTTCCTGACGGAGCAGAATGCTCAGCCAGCTAGAGCGGATTGGTCCTCTCTGGAGAAACAAGAAGGAAATCTCAGCCAGCAGATGGACTCCAATGCCAAAAGGTACCCAAACTATGAGTTAGAGGGTGAAGATGCCACAGGAAATGAGCATTCTCCACATACTTCTTTCCTAGGCTTCAACTCCACAACATACTTACATCCCTCTACCATTTCTGAGCAGCATTTTGCCAATGACAAGTGTGAGGCATTGGAAAGCCAACATGGAAGTCCTTCCTTTTTGCATCATGTTTCTAGGGAGTATGACGGATGGCAGAAGGAAGAGTAGAAAATTATTTCTATTAAGACCATGACAGAACTAGAGCCACAGCAAAACGGGCCACTTCCGCTGCAGCAACATCAAAGACCTGAGGATCATCAGACAGAAGATGCTAATCTAGGAGCATCTGCCAAATATGTCATCCCAGGCATTCACAGTAATTCAAGGCAAAAGGCCTCCCCAGAAAGCTCCAATAATAGAGGATTTTATTCATTTTTAAATGCCAGTACTGGAGCTTGAACTCGGGGCCTATACACTCTGCTTACTTTTTCAGTTAAGGTTGGGGCTCTACCACTTGAGCCACACTTCTGCTTCTGTGTTTTTTTTTTTTTTTTGGTTTATTAAACATTTCTGCTTTGTCTGCCCAGATTCATCTGTTATCCTCAGATCTCAGCTTCTTGAGTAGCAAGGATTATAGGCATGAGTCACCATTGCCCAGCATTGTATTGTTTAATAGTAATGGGTTTTAAACTCACAAAGGTAAGCCCTTTTCCATTGTCACGTCTTCAGCCCTTTTGTTTTTGAAATAAGCTCTTGTAGATATCTGTGTGGCCCAAGCTGGCCTCAATTTTGTAATCTTCCTGCCTCTACCTCTCAAGTAGCTGAGACTGCAGGTATGCACCACTGTGCCCAGAGGGGAAGGGAGGTTACTGGGGCATCGTGTATGGGAGGCTGTGAGGAAAGTGCTCTTTCACTACTTGAGTTTCAAGAAGTAAATATTTTATAATCTGTGGGTGAGACTTCACATATTCATTTATTAATGTTTGAACTTGAAGTATCTGTCTGGATTTGTCTTCATGGTTAGATTGTTGACTCCCAAGCCCATACTTTGTATTTGTTTTGTGTGCTGTATTTGTTTTCTGTGCTGTATAACTAAGATAAAGTAAAGTCATAAGGTAGTTACTATACCAAGCTGACTGATGCCCTCAAAAATAATTTGCCTGTCACTAGTGGCTCACATCTGTAACCCTATCTATTTAGGAGGCTGGGATCTGAGAACTGAGGTTTGAAGTCAACCTGGGCAGGAAAATCCAGTTATCTCCAATTAGCCACCAAAAGGCCAGAAGTGGAACTATGGCTTAAGTGGTAGAGTGCCATCCTTGAGTGAAAAAGCTAAAGGAAAATGCAAGGCCCTGTGTTTAAGCCCCAGTACTGGCACACACATACACATATGCATACAATGAGAACACACTCAGAAAAAAGTTGTAAGGTTTTCCTCCGACAGCCAAGCGGCAACAGGAGAAACCAAATGTACCCCACGCCTTGCTCCTGGTCTTCAAGCCTCCAGGACTGAGAAAATTAACTTCACTGTTTAAGCCAATCCAGTCTGTGGTCCTTTTTGTTATAGTAGATTTAGCAAACTAATAAGGGATAAGGGGCTGTAACAGAGCTTCATGAGACAGACACATCGATGAAACACAAATACAAAGTTGTATTTATTTTTAATAAGGAAAGTAACAAATGTGGAATCAATTCACTATTTTTAATTCTAACACAATGTTAGCACAAAATTATGCTCAATATTCTTTAAAAACACAGTACTATTATGAGAGCAATAAGACCATTCTTAAGAAAGTAGGGTTTTATGTGTGTCCAAAACAAGTGGGTGGTAAGTAAAGAAACACATACTAGAGACTTGACTGCGAAGGTCTTGAGTAAAACAGCCAACCACTACAAAGTGAGCAAAGTAAATATGGGGTTTCTGGAAATCTAGAAATCAGTTCACTGCAGGATGGGATGATTTGGGAAAGGCCCTGCAATGAATTCTTTCCATATTCCTACATTCTCAACTTGGAATCTACCACAATGGAACTTCTGCAAAAGACAGGAGATTCTTTACTAATGCTTGCTGACAAAACCTATACCTCCTAATTTGTTTGACGTGATCAGAAGTCCTTTATCACCAATACAGAAGACACTCCAGCCAAGGTCTAGATTTTCCTTTAAAACCAGATATTACGCTGGGGACAGATGGCTCAGGAGACAGAACTGATGATAGAGGTTCAAAGCCAGCCAAGGCAGAAAAGTCTGTAAGAGTCTTATCTCCAGTTAACTAACAAAAATCTGGAAATAGAACTGTGGCTCAAGTAGTACAATGCCCATCTTTAGATTAAAAGCTAAGGGACAAAGCCTAAGCTCTGAATTCAAATCTCACTATTGGCAGGCAGGCACAAGCACACACACACACACACACACACACACACACACACACACACACACACACACACACACACACACACACACACACACACACACACACACACACACACACACACACACACACACACCAGAAAAAAGATTAAACAAATACTTGCCACTGATAGCTCTCAATATGCCTAATTTGTTTTTGTCCTGCTACATAACTCTGCTAGGCTATAAAAGTGGAGACCTGGAACAGCAGTAGCACTGGTCAAATGTGTCTTTGCAAGTCAAAGGTCAATGGTTACAACTGTTAATAGCTTCATCAATCCCATCTTCTCCTACTCTCATTTACTATTTCTTTCGGAATTCAATTCTCCGAGCTACATTCTGAGCACCAAATTTTTTGACCAATGCATTTCTGGTATCTTCATCATCTTTTTGTAAGTCTAAGTCATCTTGTCGGGACCAAATGGGGTAACCATCAGCTCTCTGACCAGACTCTAAAAAGGAAGAAGTTGCTTCCAGCTCACCACTATTTTTTAAGAAGGCTTGTGTAACTGTTGACAGATCCAAGTTAAATTTTTCCATTAATTGCCGGATGATTTTAATGGCAGCTCCCACCTCTGCTGTAGAAATCTTATCTTCCTCCTCCTCAGGTTGTGCTTCTGCATTTTCCTCGGGTGTAGGAGGGTCGTCATCACACATTGTTATGTGTATTTCAAAATCAGGGGTTTCATCTACCTACAGAGAATGATCAGAAAGAGCAGTTCCTAATGACCTAATTCAGAATGCAATGTATGGTCCCTCCCAACTCCACCCCCTTGCTCTCTGCACACCAATCACACTGAAGTTTCACTAATATGTTACACAAGTTCATTCACACTGGATGCGCATGTACACATGTGTGTCTTATCCATGTATGTACCTGGGAAGGTGGTGTATACATGTATATGTATAGTTATGTTTCAAAGATTAGGTGCTTTACTGATTGTAAGAAATACATGTGTCAATATGCACACACAATATATGTATACATGTACATACATATACACAGAGAACAACGCTCATGTATATACACGTTCTTTAGATCTTTGTTAAATATTTGATTTCATTTCCAGACTGTAAAAGTTCCAGAAGAACCGGAACCTAATATTTGACTCATCACAGACTTGCTTTTCTCTCCAATGCTAAGATGTGCTAAGTTCTCAGCACTGCTGCATGACTCTCTGCTTAGGCACATTATGAATGTGCTACCTAAGAGCCAGGCGTGACAGCTGAAGCAAGATGAGCCAAACACACAACACACATCACAAAGCAACAACCCCAAACTTCTGCCAGATCCCATGCATTGCTCCACTCACTAGTTCCAGAAACTTTAATTTATCCCTCCTCCTCCTTTTGTAGTAGTGGTACTAGGGTTTGAACTCAGGCAGCCATTCTATCACTTAAACCAAACCTCCAGATGTTATTTCGCATTTTTTAGACTGAATCTTAGCCAGACGTGGTGGTACATTCCTGTAACTCCAGCACTTGGGAGACTGAAGTGGCATACAAGTTCAAAGTCAGCCTGTGCTACATAATGTAGCAAAACCTTATCTCAAAAATAAAATTTTTAATTAAAAAAACTGAAGCCTACTCATTTTTGTGTTTATAAGAAAATCTAATTCTTTTCCTTAGAGAAGACACATGAATACAGTTTAAAAATACATACTTAAAAAAGTATATATACACTTAACATATATATTTATATTTTAAAAATATAAAAATATATTCTTAAAAAGTATTCATCATGGGGCTGGGAAGGTGGCTCAGTGGTAGAGCACTTGTCTTGCTCAAGGCCCTCGGTTCAATTCCTCAGCACCACATAAGCAAAAAGAAAAAATCCTGAAGTGGCGCTGTGGCTCAAGTGGTAGAGTGCTAGCCTTGAGCTGAAGAGCTGAGGGACACTGCCAGGCCCAGAGTTCAGGCCCCCCCCCCCAAAAAAAAAAAAAAGTATTCATCATTTGTCACTCCTGATTTTCTCAAAAGCTATTATTCTTCTTCTTGGATTCCAACAAATTATTAGAAGCTAAATCAAATATATAGAAGAGCAAAAGTATTCCCCTAAAATTGTAAGCACACAAAAAGCTAAATGTTTGATGGTAAAAATAACTATAGGAGGCTGGGAAGATGGCTCAGTGGTAGAGTGCTTGCCTCGCATGCATGAGGCCCTGGGTTCCATTCCTCAGCAGAATAAGCAGAAAAAACCAGGGTGATGCTGTGGCCCAAGTGGTAGAGCACTAGCCTTGAGCTGAAGAGCTGAGGGACAGCGCCCAGGCCCAGAGTCAGGCCCCATGACCAACCAAACAAACAACAAAAAAACAAGCACTAGGCTCAGAGTTCAAATCCTGGCACCAGGAAATTATAAGTCTCTATTCTGCCTGATTTCTCTCTCCCACTCTAGCTGTGCTGCCCCAAACTAAAAGCTTTTCGAAGCCGAAAGCCTAAATCCACCCATTCTCCTTTTTCCTCTTCTGTGTTTAATTTCTCTCTTATATTCCTGGACCTCAGGTGGGTGAAAAAGGTAGATGGGATAGTCAGTTTCAAAAAAGGGAGGCAGGGGGGAAAGAGAGTAAATCTAGTTAATATACCACAACTTCCTCAAACTCCTGGGTGGATTCCACAAGCATGGTTTTGACTGTTTCTTCATTCTCCTTTATGTCTTCCTTTGCATTCTCTTCTTCAGACAAGTCTGCTGTCCTCTTAGTCTGTGGTTCTACTAAAGAAGAACAGCATAAATTAGCATTTTCCTCCTTCACCTCACACCTGTAAGCCTAACTACTCAGGAGACAGGGTAGTTAGGATTACAGTTTGAAGCCCTGGCAGGAGTCTAGTAGAGAGCAAGCATTGAGCAGAAAAGCTCAGAAACAACACACAGCCCTGAGTTTAAGACCCAAGCTCTGAGCCAGATGTTAGTGGCTCACACCTATAATCCTAGCTACTCAGGAGGCTGAGATCTGCGGATCACAGTTCAAAACCAGCCTGTGCAGGAAAGTCTGAGACTCTTATCTCCAATTAACCACCAGAAAACCCAAAGCCCTATTACCCATGCAAAAAAGCAGGCCCTGTGCACACACAAAAAAAAGTAGTATATGCTGTGTAAACTGTATCCAGAAGTAAGTCTCCACTTTTGTAAATTTTTCTTTCAGAAGACATCTATTTTAGTTGTTGTTGTTTTAGTGTTGTTTTTTTGTTTTTGTTTTGCCAGTCCTGGGGCTTAAACTGACCTGGGCACTTTCTCTGAGCGTTTAAGGCTAGCATTCTACCACTTGAGTCACAGCCCCACTTCCGGCTTTTTCTGTTTGTGGTACTGAGGAATCGAACCCAGGGCGTCATGGATGCTAGGCAAGCAAGCCCTCTACCACTATGTCACTTTCCCAACTCAAATGGGATATTCTTAAACTCTGACAAACTTTATTACTCTTCAAGCTTCATTCACTTTTTGCTTTGTATTGACAATCGAACGAAAACGCATCCTGCGCCAGGTGCCGGTGGCTCATTCCTGTAATCCTAGCCGCTCAGGAGGCTGAGATCTGAGGATCACCGTTTGAAGCCAGCCCAGAACAGCCAGTGAGCCCCTTATCTCCAATGGATCACCAAAAAGCTGAAAGTGGAGCTGTGGCTCAAATGGGAGCGCACCAACTTGGAGCAACAGGGACAGCAGCTAAGCCCTGGGTTCAAGTCCCAGTACCGGCACAAAAATGAAACAAACAAACCCCAAAACGGTTCAGTTTTACCCTGATGTCAACAGAGGGGCGGGGCTGAGCGATGCCACCAAGGCCGGACGCGGCCGGCAGGCCGGGCGGCCCCGGCCCCGGCCCCCCGCGCGCGCCCCGCAGCCGCCCTCACCCCCGCTCTCGGCCGCCTCGGGGTCCGGCTCGGCCTTGCGCTTGAGCCTCTGCGCCGAGGGGCTCCCCGGGGCGCCCCCCAGCTGGTACTGGTGCTCCTGGCCCCGCAGGTGCTTCAGGTAGCGGTCCTTCATGGACTGCCACGAGTGCTGGGTGACCGAGGCCTTCTCCATGGCTTTCCACAGGACGGTGCCCGTCACGGAGCTGGGCGAGCGGGCGTTTTCCTTCACGTAGGTCAAGATGGCCACGTCGTCCGCGTCCGTGAAGGCCATCCGCCCGTTGAGCGGCGGCGGCGGCGGCTCGGACTCGGCGGCGCGCTCGGCCGGGGCCCCGGCTTTGGTGTCCGAGCCCAGCCGGTAGGCCTCCAGCTCCAGCCTCTCGTTGCGCTCCACGCAGTCCAGGATGAACTGCGTGGAGATGAAGTCGCCCGCCGCCTCGGCCGCCGCCTCCCCGGGCTGGGCCAGCAGCACGGCGCCCGGCTCCTGCACCCGGCACACCGTGCCGCCGCCGTGCAGGATCAGCGTCGACAGCCGGCGCTTGGCCGGGCTGGGCCGCACGTAGAACGACATGGAGCTGCCGTCCTCCCTCAGAAACAGAGTGGAGGAATGGGTGGGCCCGTTGGGGTCTTTGCCCAAATCCATCGCCTCCGCCATGGCCCAGGCCTGTCACCACCACCACCAGCTCGGACAGAACGCAAGGCAGCCTAGCACTGCGCGTGCGCAGCACCCCAAACGCGCCCGCCCTCCCCTTCCCCGGAAGGGGCGGGGCTATGGCGGCGAAATCCCGCCCTGCGCGTGCGCGGCGCAATAGATTTCACACACACCCCCCCTTTCCTCGGAAGAGGCGGGGTTTTGGAGCTTCACCTGGAAGTACTCGTTACTTTCGGGTCGGTTCCCGGGGGAGATGGCCACGCTGCAGGAGGCAGACGTGAAAGTGGGTGGCGAGCCGAAACTGAGCAAGAAGTAAGTGTCGTCCAGGGCCATGTGAGCCTGTGCGGGAGTGGGGGAGCGGGGGGGGGGGTCTCCGTCCAGACTGGGAGGTTGGGCTGGGGGCCCTGCTCGTGTGGCCACGCTCCGGCCCTGTAAGCGACATCTCCCCACCCCGAGGCCCCCACGGCGATCGGCGGGTGCTGATGGGTCCCCCCGCCTTAAGGTTGAAATGAGAGAGAGCAGGGGTCGGTCTGAGAAATGACAGGGAAGAAAAGTGGAACTTGCTTCTTCCCTCCTGCCCCTCCGAGAAAGGCCTCCTGTGCTGACTGCACCGCTCCCCGGTGCTCACCGGACGCTGTCTGCCACCTTCAGCCTTTCCTTCCCGGGCCTCACCGAGACCGTATGAAGAGGGGTGTGTCCGTCTGGAAACGGCCGTCACTCTCCACATGGGTGATTCAGAGCCGTCAGTGGTCTTCTTCAGCCTGGAGGCTGCCCTAGGCACTGTTGAGGGTATCTTTGTTAGCCTGTCCACCCCACACCCTAGATCCTAGAAATGTGTAGGTGATCACAGATCTAGATTAACCCACCCTTGAAAGGGCATTTTTATTGTCTCTAAATACCACATTCTTTCAACCACGGTCGTGAAACCACGGAACTCACAGACAACAGGGTGAGTTTTGAGTGTGTTACTGCTCTGAAAGTACATAATTAGGACTAGATTAGGGGTGTAGTACTTGTAGAACACAAGAACTTTAGCCTCTAATTGCATTCTGATGGAAATGCTGTAGGTTCTTTAGCTAGGTGGTTTTAGAAAAAGTAGTAATACCTAGATTTATGGAGTTCACAATCACTACATTGCCCTTTATGACAGTAATCGGATGGATTTTATAAATATTTGGATTTAACCTTAGATACCTTACTTGAGGGAAAGAAAGTTGAGTGGATTTTTTAAAAATCTATTAAATCAGTCATTTTTTTCTTTTTTTCCTCTTTCTTTTTTTTGGGGGGTGGGGGTCAGGTTGTGGGGCTTGAACTCTGGGCCTGGGCGCTGTCCCTCAGCTCTTCAGCTCAAGGCAAGCTCTCTAATGCTTGAGCCACAGTGCCACTTTGATTTTCTGAGTGGTTAATTGGAGGTTCCTGCCTGGGTTGGCTTTGAACCATGATTCTTAGATCTCACTCTCCTGAGTAGCTAGGATTACAGGTGTGAGCCACTGACAACGACCGGCTTTTTTTCTTTTTTATAATGCCACAATCAAGTCTTGAACTCAGGGACTCAAGTATCTTGCTCAGCTCAGCGTTTTTGCTCACAATGGTTGCTCCACCACTTGAGCCACACCTCCAGGCCAGTAATTGAATTTTTGTATTTGATCACAGTTGCTTTAAAAGTAAGGTTTCCAGTTGAATTTTTATGTAAATTTAAAAAAACTAGTCAGTTCTTTTTACTCAGAGAAAGTATAGCTACCCTCTTGTTTTCCTTTCTTTGAGATAGGGTCTGGACAAGTTCCCAAGACAGATTTTACCTCCACCTCTTGAATAGCTAAATTATCACTTTTATGGGTTGGGGGGGGAGAAGGGGGGCTGTTACTGGACCCTGCCCCTTAACAAAAAAGCTAAAGCACTCTACCACTTGAGCCACTATACCACGTCCTGCTTGTTGGTTTTTTTTTTTTTTTGGGCGGCGTCTGGTCGTGGGGCCTGAACTCTGGGCCTGGATGTTGTCCCTCAGCTCTTCAGCTCAAGGCTAGCGCTCTACCACTTGAGCCACAGCACCACTTCCAGCTTTTTTCTTTTTGCTTATGTGGTGCTGAGGAATCGAACCCAGGGCCTCAGGCATGCAAGGCAAGCGGTCTACCACTGAGCTACCTTCCCAGCCCCTTTTGGAGGTTAATTGAAGATAAGAGTCTCACAGACTTTTCTACTCTGTCTGGCTGGCTTCAAACCATGATCCTTAGATCTCAGCCTGCAGAGTAGCTAGCTAGGATTACAGGCCAGAGCCACTCAGGGGCTTTGAAATACCACTTTTATAAGCAGCTTTTGTGTTCCAGGCTTTGTGTTTTAATCTCACTTGTCATCTTGCAAAGCTAGCATTAATGTCTGTTTTTTCAGAATGATCAGTGATGTATGGTGAAGTGTTTCCCCAAAGCCTGAGGTATAGTTTAGTGGTAATATGCTTGTCTTACATAGAAGAGATCATAAATTTGATGCCCAGCACCCCCCCCTTTCTCACCCCCCCTACACACACACCCCAAAGTTTGTGTTCTTATGTGTGTCCTAGCACTAATCTGAACTGAAGGAGAAATCTAAACCCTGGATCAAGTCTAACTCCAAAGCCCTTGATCTTTTTACTAATTGTACTGTACTGTTTCACATGGTTTTACAATAAAAATGTGTTGATATTTTATCTTCCAGTGATTGTGGGCTTGAATAGTTTTTTTGTTGTTGTTTTGTCTGTCGTGGGTCTTGAACTCTGGGCTTGGGCGCTATCGCTCAGCTCTTCAGCTCAAGGCCAACGCTCTACCGCTTGAGCTACAACGCCACTTCTGGTTTTCTAGTGGTTTATTGGAGATAAGAGTCTCACAGACTTTCCTGCCGGGGCTGGCTTTGAACCGCGATCCTCAGATCTCAGCCTCCTGAATAGTTAGCATTACAGGCATGAGCCACCAGTGCCCAGTATTAAGTAGTTTTTGTAGTTAACATTCTCTTCCTAATCACTCTTGAAACATTCCTGATCTAAAATCTTTAATGATCACAGTATTATGCTTAAGACCAGATGGACTACTTGCCCAAAGGATTCATTCTCAAAATTCTCAAATGAAAGATCCCCGCCCCCCCCCCCCCCCAAGTATATTTGAACACGGTAGAATATAGCTCCTGTCATTGTTTCCTTCCAGTGTTGATGTATAAACTAAAAACTACCCTTTCTTTTTTGTTCCAAGAACTCCAAACTATTCTTCTCTTTGACTTAGAAATGTTTTGTGTGGGTTTAGTTTCCTCCTACCCCCTGAGAACAGGGTCTCATTATGTTCCCCAGGCTGTCTCAGGCTCCTTAGCTCAAATGATCTTCCTGCCTCAGACTCCTGAGTGTCAGAGACTACAGTCATGTACCACTATATGCAGCTGTATGGCTTACATTGTCTAAAGTTAGTATTTGATAGAGATTTTTTCCCTGTGTTTCATATGCTTTCCATTGCCATCTTGTGTCTAGGCACTTCAACCCTCTCCTCAAAAGCACACTTTAGGACTTCAGAAAATTGCCTTCTGACTTGAATTCTAAAATGTGGCCATTTTTCTACCTGTAAGTTATTGGCTGACTTGTACTTGACTTTCTAACCTAGAAACACACCATTTTCCATAGCCAGGAGTGAGATGATTTTAGTTGCCCAACAGTAAGTTCACAGGATTGGGTATTTGTTTAAGAGGGCCTGAAGTTAAATGGGACAAAAAGGTAGTACCGAATGGCTCAGCTCCCCCACGCAGAGTGTGTAGGCTGAGTGCATGTGTACTGTCTGTCCCATCTGACTCCACATCTCTTGTTTCCTGCTAGGTCCTGGCAGTAATTAATTCCAGGGTATTCTGCCATGTTGATGCAAGCTGCCGTCAGGCTTGTTAGGGGGTCCCTGCGGCAGACCTGGGCAGAGTGGGGTCAGAGGGACCTTCGACTGGGCCAACTTGCTCCTTTTACAACGCTGCACAAGGACAAGCCACTTTCTGATAAAAGAAGGTGGGTGCCCGTTGCCTTCTTTATTGTTCTGGAGCAAAAGTTCTCTCCTCCAGCATCTGTTAAGCCCTTAGTTAAGTCTTTGGATTTACCACAAAGAAAGCAAAGAACTAACTCTACTATCAAACCCAATAGTTCTTTCTCACTTTCTCTGAGTTCAAATCCTCTCTTTCTTTTTAGTTTTTTTTTTTTTCCTTCCCCCTGGTTAGTTGGAGATGAGTCTCTTGAACTTTTCTGCCCCTGCTGCCTTTGAACCCATATTCTCAGATGTCAGCCTCCTGAGTAGCGAGGATTACAGGCATGAGCCTCCAGCACCCAGCTTGGCTTTAAACTCTTGATTCTCCTACTTGAGTCTCTGAAGTGCTGGATTGTTGGTGTGGACTTCCTTACAGCCTTAAGATGCCTTGTGGATCTTATTCTAGGACTATGCTGGGAAAAAGACTTATTTGTATAAGGAATTTTTGTAATGCCAGTTATTTTGCCTTTTCTGTTTTTTTTGTTTTTGTTTTTTTTTTTTTTTGCTTTATTTTGAGGTTTTGTTTGCTCTTGAAATTAATCTGGTTCTAGTTGTTCTAGGTGTTGTCCTAGATCTTTCTGGACTCTTCTTAGAAATGATTTAAGAACAGTGTCTGATTTGAGACGATAACAGGTTTATCTTAATCCTAGAAAAGAAATCAGGTAGCCTTGGATGCCCACCGACTGAATTCCAGTATTATAGACCTGGAGCACTGTTTGGAAAAGGTTATCTTTACAACTGTTTTCAAGACAGATTGCATCAGAGTTGCCTGCTTTGAAGTCATCAAAACCAGTTTTTCACGTAAAAGATGCTCAGCTCAGCTAGATGTGGTGGTGCATGTCTATAATCCCAGCTACTTGGGAGGCAGTGATGTAGCGAATTACAATTTCAGGCCAGCCCTGGGCAAAACACAGAGACTCTATTTTTTGGATGAGGTGGAGAGAAATAACTAAATAAAAATGGGCTGTGGTGGTAGAGTATTTGCTGAATTCAAACTCTAATACTGTCTCTCCCCCACCCCACCCCCAAAAAAGATGATCAG